TCAATTGCTCACTGAACTTTGAGGTGGTCGAATTTTGGCTATTAAACTTATTAAAATGACGTCGACCTATTATTCATTAAGAAATATGTACCACGATCGTACGGGTCGCGTAAAAGTAATAAATTGAACAAAAGAACACAATCCATTTGAATTTTTCAAATTATGAAAATAGCTTAAAATTCTCCAAAAAAAATATATTAAAATTAAATTTAACTATCATTAGTAATCATTTCTCGTGGAATCGACAACTCGAACTCGTTTTTTCAAGAAAGGTGTCATTTTCCTCCTAAAAGGAGCATGAATTTCAAGAGAGTAACTGAACAAGATAATGATCAATTACCATATAACCAGAATTTGCAGTAACTGAACAAGAATTAATTGAAAGAAAAAGAGTCAAAATTGGCAACATACAACAACTTTAACAGGTCAATTTTGGAATCAACTTTTTTTTTTCATCCAATTTTTCCAATTCTTAAACTGATTTAATAATTAGAAATTTTTCAATTTTTTTATATTTTGAATTTGATGACTTTTTTATTCTAAATTTATTCATTTTCTCATTTATTTATTCTAGCACAAATCACATGCCATAAAAATATTTTACCGATTCAATTATTTATAACAAATCGGATCGATTGCTATCAGATCAGACTGACCTACCTCAATATTTGATCTATTTAGTTAATGGATTATCGAATTCGGATCTTAATCGGATAATCGATTGAAATCCTAAATTCACCTCCCATTAATTCGTATCAAAATTCAATCAACTGACAGCCCTACTTTCAAGCAAATTTTACAAAAATACTTGCCAAAATATTACAACATATTTAAACTTAATTTATTATAGTATATGATAATATCATTGAACTTCCTTTATAGGCGGTCCCAAATTTTGATAGGAGTGATTTGTAGTACTTTAAACATTTTTTTGTCAAATCTTATTAAATGAATTTTTTTCCTAAATTTCGTTGGGACAACTCTCACAACCCAATAGATTATAATTACGATTTATTTTATTTAATATATCTACAAGCACCAGTAGCGTGGGCCAAAATGAAATTAGGCCCCCGTTTGGGCCACCTTTTTATCTCATTAAAATGAAAAATATGACCGTTATCCATCACATCAACATTTAAATTCAAATTTTCTATCTTTTATGTGGACCCCAATAATGACTATATTTATTCATGGACTTCCAAGTGCTCACCCCCTCGACCGCAAATTCATCTGTATCTTGTACGTAAATAACAAATGATGGTGATCGTCTTCAAATTTATTGATATTGACACCAATATGTACCCCACCATTCCGGATTTCCTCCGTTTATTCATCAATTTTTTCACGTAACATCCTTCCAAATACTAAAAACCAACATCTCACTCCCAACACATGATCGTTCTTTCAAAACGTTTTACTTGTCTAAAAACCAACATCTCACTAAAAACCAACAAAGTCTTTGATTTGTTTCTCTTTACAATGAAGAGATTAGTACAAGAACCATCAATATGCGTGAATTGTGAAATTGTGATAGCCAATTGTTCGTTTAGTTTTGACGATACAGAGGAAATAATAAAAACTTTTTTAAATCATAGTTTTTAGATTACTTAGAGATTTAGGTGCGGATTAAAATAAGATTTTTAGTAAATTTTGATAAAAGTAGATGAAATATGTAGTGAAAAAGTCATGGATCCCAAAAAATATGAAATTAAAATTAAATGTTGAATTTGACTTGATTTTAATCCCTAATAAACAAGGGAAATTTCAAATTTATTCTCTTTATATATTTAATATCATTGGTGTTTTAAATCCCATTTCAAATAGGAGTACACTAGGCTAATGTGTCTTAAATGATCTACATCTTCGAATCAGACACTAATGAACACATCGACCTATTCATGTGGTTAAAAGCTCTCCCAAATAAAAACGATGCAATTATTAGGAACGTTATCAACCATTGAACTAACAGCCCGTCGTGCCAGCATTTTATTGGATGCCCGCTATATAAAAAACGAGGGAAGCGACACTAGTTTAGGTGATATTAAGTTATAATTAAATGTGATGTACAATTAAATGTCTCGTAATTTTATTTTTCATTGAATCTATCACATAATATCATTTAAACTGATGTTATAGTACTAAATGCCTATTTTACATGATATTTGAGAAGTCAAAATGAGTTTTTGAGATTCAAAAATTGATTTTGGACCCGTTCGTCTAATTTTACGAATATATTTATTTTAGGTAGAAGAATTTTTAGATAAAATTGGTTTGATATGATTTTCTCTAAAAGTACTTTCACAATAGAAAATTCTTTTAAAAAATTATTTTTCAAACAAAATTAAGATAATTTTTTGAAAAAGCTCTTCTATTGGAAGCAAAAATAAAAGTAAAAGCTAAAAGTAAAAGGGAACAATACATTTATAAGGTATTTATTTTACACATTTTCAAAAATACAAAAACAAGTTTGAAAAGTCACAAATCAGGTTTTTAAAATTTTTAATTAATAATTAATGAATAATTAAATCAATTATTTATTAAATATTTA